GGCTGTCTGCTGTTTTTGTTTGGCTTTTCATGCGGTACAGTGTCTCACAAACAAATGAAGTGTAACTAAGAATAGAGCACATTCTGAGGGCAAAGCACTCCTGGGATTACGAACAACTGCTGCGTTAGGCTGGATCCGAAGCACAAAGTTGATGAGCGCTCGCGGGAGAAAATGAGGAGTCACTTGTGTGGCTTTTGGTGCCGTGCGCTTCTGCGAAGAGAGGAAGAGGTGGGCCGATCTCTAACGCGGCTCGGCACGCGTGCGGAAACTGTTCTGCCAGATGTAACGAGAACTGGCTGCCTTTTAGTCTCGTGGTGCAGGAAGCGTGTGCTCGTGTTGGAAGAACAAAGTTTCGCACACTCGTTAACTTTGTGCGTCGTTACCTGTACTCTAGAGTTGGGGTCTTGTTTGATCCACTTGATGACGGTCTCGTAGACCAGCTCCTCGGCCTTTGTGTTCAGGCTGTCGTTGGACAGATAGGCTATCAGGTCGTCCTTGGAGACGCTGAGGATCTCTTCCTGCCCTGCCACCTGAAAGAAAAAAGATTCAATAGCTAAAAAACTTTTCACTTTCAGCGACACAATCTGACTTTTCCTGTGACAAGCTTTGAACGTACACAATTCTGTAAGGTGAAGCTCAAACATGTTTTTGAGCAGAGGCGGATGTTCAGATCTTTCTAGCATAAAACTAACACAAAGGTCTCTTTGTAACCAACGCAGAGACCAGCAGGGGCAGAAAAACGGCCTTTAAAACTTCACATCATGAGGCCGTAGCATTTAAGGGAAAAAAAGGGTGTATTTCTCTCACGTACAGTAAGTGCAAAAGTCTTGAGCCTCTAGATGTTTATTTATATTTTGCTTCCAATGAGCCAGGCTTTTTTGTCATTTTTAGGGTGGACCTGAGCAACAGTTCTCCAGGATTTCTGAACGTCTTTCAAAGTTTTTCTTTGGACTTGGCTGCTTTTTCCCTCATTTACACTCCAGTCTTTGTAAAGCCACCTATCACTGACCTGTGAATCATTCAAGAATAAAAAAGGACACCTAACACAGGGTTGTGTCTACATATAACAGACAACCTTTAGGCATTTTATTACTAGCAGCCTGTCCCAAAAATACACCATTTGTTCGATTTCATTTCTTTAGTTCAATATATGAAAAAAACGACAGCACAGTGTGACCGGATACAATTGTGTTTTTGCACCTTCCTAAACAGCTATTAGCCAAAATCTTGGCACATCTCTGAAGTTACAAATAATTGACAAAACTGGGAAAACGGAGGAAAAGAGCAGAAAAGCCTGGCCTAGAACTATCTACAGCTGATGAACGCTATGTGAAAGTCACGTTTTTAAGAAACTGGGAAAAAATGCAGCAAAGATCTGACACAGGACCTGATTGATGCATCACATCCATCTACTGTTCACTCAAGCCTTACCAGAAATGATCTCAGTGGGAGGATGGCTGTCAAAAAGCCATTCTTAATGAAGGGAAACATTTTTGGTTCGATTTATTGTTAATATGTACAGAGGAGGTCATGAGAGAGTAGGGCTGCTCAATGAATCGAATTTTAATCTCGATTACGATCTGGGCTTTCAACGATCATTAAAAATGACTGAGCCGATTATTAGCCCCTCCCTCGTGCTTTACTCTCGCGCTGCTCCGTGTGGCAAAT